TTTGCTTTTGGCCACTAAACAAATACCAGCCAAAAAGGGGGCTGTTCCATGAGAAGCGTTCGGGCTTGTTTGCTGTTTTAAGGCCACCTTTGTTTTCAGGCAACCCCCAATTGGTTGGCTTGACGGGCGGTTTCAGGATTGGACGTCCTTGTTCTCGACGGTGAATGGGAAGCCTCCGGAACGCCTCCAAATCACTAATCCAAACCGGTAGCGGGAAGCAAACTTTGATCTTCTCCGGCAGGCTTGGGCGGCATTTTCTTCGATGACATGAACGAGGAGGATCCGGAGGCCGCTCGTTCGACGGGCCGGGCGGCGGGTAGACTAAGCTTGGCCCGAGCCCATCCGAGGCGCTTCGTAGCAAGGGGTTTGTCCGGGTTCAATGTTAAAGTTAACTTCTTGGCTGGTGCTCAACATCGCTTTTCAGGGGCGCTTTTTTTGTGTGTTGCCCCCAAAATTCAACAAACGCAGCCCCTGCGCAGACACTGCAGCTTATGCGAAGTTCTGCAAGGCAAATGCAACGCCTGGCACATGAGGCCACAGGTGCAAGTCCGAAGTGCCGCTTGCTTTGTTCAAAAGAAACCTTTCCTGTGAGAAGGAAAATGGCTGTGGGTCAAAACCAACGGTACCATTTTGGAGTAGGTGAATTCACCACCCATTTAGAACCTATTTTAGTGGGGATTGGGATGTTCACTGGGGGTACGCGGTTTTGACCCATGGCCAAATGATGAGAGCCAGGTTTTGATACTGCCCAGACCGCGCCAACGTTTTCGGTTCGGTTCGCGTGAGACCCACCTGAAGTTCGCCGAGCAGGCGCTGGACGCCCCTCGGATGGATTCAGATGGACCGCTGCACTTTTGGTTCTGAACATCTGAGCTGTCCTCAGATCCCTCTCTAAAAGTGACGACCTTTTAGTGGGCGAAATGGAAAACCAACCACTAAACACCAAAAAACTCAGCTAAGGAAGCGGATGGCTGGGAGCCACCAAGAAAAATGGGGGGAAGTCCTTCGACTTCTTTGGTGTTCAACGACCGACGCGAAATCGTCTGGGGTCACCAGATTTAACCCGTGTTGTGGTCATCGACTTCTTGCGTGGTGGCCAAGCCAGCCACTACTCTAGGCTTGCCCTTCTTAGACTATATACTTTATTGTCCCCCCAAAGAAGGGTTCCCAATATTTCCCCTTTGGGTTGGTTTAAACATCACTTTTCGATATTCGGAGGGGACAGAGGTTCCAGTTGTAGGGAGGGAGTGGAGTGGAGTGCAGGAAACCGAGGTCCAAATGGAGCGTCTTGGGTGCAACATGCTGTATTTCAAGCTTGGACAAGTATGCATGGCATGCTCAGTGAAATGCTCCTCGTTGCGGCCTATGCAGCCAAGCCGTCCGTCCGTCCGTCCGTGCGTCCATCCATCCATCCATCCGTCCGTCCATCCATCCATCCATCCATCCATCCATCCATCCATCCATCCATCCATCCATCCATCCATCCATCCCTTGCTGGATGTACCAATAGCCAGCAAGCATCCAAAACTCCCCAAACCTCGTAGAATGACAGGCAATGTGTCACAGTTCAGGTGCAGACGCGAGTAGGACCATCGACGAGTCCGGACCGCCTGAGGCAGTGCCGAAAGCGTACGTCCCGCTTCTGGAGAAGAATCGTGACAAAGAGTTCACGCAGGATCAGAAGGACGGGCAAACGGCGCAAGTCTGGGTCCGGCAGGCCCCAGGATCGGGCAACATTTTGGCCAAGTGGCTGGAAGATGATAGGCTCTCCTTGCTGGAGGGGGTTCATGGCATTTCTGGTGCCCCCAGCCGAGTTAGGACCCCTTTGGCCCGTTTTAGCAAGCGCGACTTGTTGCAATCCCAGCTCCAATGAGCTAGGCAGGATTTGAGCAGGCCCATCCTTGACCAATGCTTGGGCAGGCGGAGAAGCCTTCAGTTCACTCATGGCAATACGAACCTGTTCTGAAGGGATGAATTGCCTGCTTTAAATCGAACTTGCATTCAAGTTTTAAATTGGTCTGCACATGGTAGCATGCCAATACATTCCTTTGCACCGAATTGCAAACCATTGACATCCGTTTTCAGGAGATGGCTGTTGAACTGTTGGCTCCCACATAATTGTGAGCTTGAGCTTCTTTGCGAGTTCAACATGAGGTGCTGAGGGTGTTTTCCATGATTCTGTCTCACAATCAGGGGCCTGCAAAAGGTTGGTGTCCGTTCGAAGTTGTGATGTCCGTTTTCATCCGTGAGACAAACCTTTGTCGGTCCTTTCACTTCAGCGATTCGACCCGCACAGAACTGGCAGCTGATGCGACGGGGCCGCTACGTGGAGTTCAACCTTGACGCTTGGCGAAAAGCTGATTGGCGTGGTTGCGCATGTGGCACGTACAGTCTCTTTGAACCTCAAGATGGAAAGCCAAAGAGCGGGATCCAGCCAAAGGAGACTCCTCACATGAGTTTTGTGGCTCCTTGGCATTTCCAAGAAGGGGCACATTTCACTGGCCGAGTCATTCGAGGTCTATGATCGAGGCACCATCTTCGGCCTCAAGGTCCGGAGCCCCATTCGCTCGAAAGCGTCAGTTGAAAGTCGTAGGGGAAGCTTATCGCTTTTGGGCTCCTTTTTTTTTTTCTCGGGCAACATGGAGGTGAACGCCCAAGCCATTTTGCCTTAAGGATACCTCACTTCAGTTGGCTTTGTGTCCCCTGGCTTTCGCAGCCGCAGCGCAACCTGGTGGATCCGACGAAGTCGGTTTGGCCATGACCAAGCTTTCCTGCTTACGTTGTGCATGTCAGCAGCGTGTCGTTTTTTTTTTTTTTGGTTGTACAAAGCGACCGTGCAGGGAAAAGATTCACCGCCGAGAAGTTCTTTTGACTGTAAATAATTTGAGGCAAATCTCGGATTGTGAACGGACCCCATGCTCCTTGAAATGAATACCATGCTTCCACCTTTTATCCTCCCCGCAACGCCTCTGGTGCCGAGATGCTTGGCAGCGGCGTTGGCCGCATCGAGAGCATTCTGATGTCTCTGCCGGAGAATGCCAGGCGCATTGGCACCTGGGGATTAGCGTTTCTCCATGTGGCAACGGCTGTCCCATGGATGGAGGGATCAATGACAAAGAGGAACTGTCATTTCACAAAGAAGGCTCCCCTGGAAATGAAGGTCTCGTCAAGACATATGCTTCATTATTCCATTCTTCACATCCAGCAACTGCTCCAATATGTTTCATCGCCAACCTCAAGTGTGAGAATGTTTTCTGACGAACAAGAGGCAGCACTTTGACAATCACAAAGGTTTCAAGCCTGTTTGTTTACACACACACACACAGTTTAGTTTTGTTCTCCAGGCTTCCGTATCACTGCGCCAGCGAACGAAATTGGGTAGCCACAGAAGGCAAACATGGAGCCCGGAAGCTGCCTTGTAGAGAGAGGCAGCTTTCGATGTCAGGTTTTGCAGACAGCTTTTCAGGCCCCAGTCTTTTGGATGCAAGTCCGCGGCTCAAGTCTCACCTTGATCTGCTTCAGCCCTGGAACTTTTCGCAGTTGGGTTGGCTCTCAAGGACCCTGCGTCGCAGGTGGCAGTACGCTCATGAGCCAGAAGAAGGCAGCCCGGAGGCGGAGATCATGGAGGCCTTCGGGTCGGGAGTTTCCTCGTGACGCGTTGGGGTGATGGGCGGGCCTGCCTGTCTGAGATACATGACCCGTTTTTGGGTTCCGATCCCGTTTCGAGAGGCACCGAATGGGAACCAGAAGCTCCGATCGATGTTTCAACCAGCGCACCATGTTGGAAGCTTGGTTTCTGGACCAGAAGCTGTGCCCATTGGAGATGATGTGACTGATGTGGCTGACACGTGTTGCTTGAGCTGCGAGTGGTCACTTCGGTCTGGCGACGTTTGTATCGTATCGGCGATCAGGCATTCAAGACGCCCATGGAGTTTGCTTGAGGCTGCAACTGAGGACGGGAGGAGTGCGGCTTGATACCCATGGCACAGCCTCAAGTTGGCGCATTTAAAAAGGACAAGCTCTGGAAGAAGGGGGGAAGGTGCCACAACATGTCTGTTGGATGGTTGTTGAAGGGAAACCAACAAGGCACCCCGCATTTGATTTGACAGCCAATTGGCAGCCGGCAGAAATAAAGACTCAGATTTCCATTCCACTTGGCTGCACTCGTAACCAAAGGGTCAAGCGAGACGACTTGTCTCTGGATGGGATCCCGAGTGGATAGACGTTGAATGATGCCGGTTACGAAGTACACATAAACAATGCCATGTGAATAGCAGGTCTTTTGACACAGAACCAGAATGAGGCTGTTCTAAAAGCATTATGAAGAAGCTTGGTCATGTCCTATGTGAACACGGGACTCAACGACACTTGCATCCAGCTTTGTTCATATACAAGATGACAGTGCCAGCCGAGAATTTCCTGGAAGGCGTGCTTTTTTTTTCAGTGCACCCGGCAGGCAGGTTTGAGGTACGCGAAGCTCAACCTGAGAGACTCTTGAAAGTTACTGGATCGGCCCGATTCCACTGGCCGCACACCAATGCTGTGCTGCTGCTGGGATCCGTTCGCTGCGAACTGCGCATGTCTCCCTGCAGCACGGCATTTTGGTGCGCACTCTTTGGAGCTGCTCATTGCGTGCCGCTTTTGACAGGCGCAGGTTAAGTCAGCACGATTGGCTGCTGAGAGGCGCCAAAAGACATGCGGGAGCGCTCGCAACTTGGACTACGTTGCAGAATAGAAAACACACATATACGCAGACACACCGACCCAACCCACCCACATCCACCCACGAACCCATGCACGTACGCACACACACAAAGATGCCGTTTAGTTTTGTTGTATTGCAGCTGTTGCCACGTAATATCAGAGCGATGAGGTGTGAGACTTGATTGAGCGCCTTTGCGGATATGAGGATATTGCAGAGTCATGTTGTGGTCGTGCCACTGGCATACCTTGCCTTTGCGGCAGCATGTTGGCTTGCTCTCAGAATTTGGCTCATACCATACGCACTGTGCTCAGATACAAGCTCAGCAATCAGACTTCCAGCACCTGACTGTGCCATCGCCCAGTTCAGAAGTGCTTGTTGCTTTTCAAGCTTGGAGGGATGCGCATGGTTTGCTCAACTTCACTTCACAGCTAGCAAGGTGCAGTTTGCTTGCCAGCCTGGCACTAGCGGCACTAGCGCGCATCCCTGCCTGCGGCTGGCATGAATTCTGTGGCCTGGCAATCAGTTGTGCTAGTTTGGTTGAGGCAGCGGCTGAGACTCATTGACCTGGGCATGATGTATCGCAGTCTTGCAGGCAGCTATAGCGTGAGTTGAGCATGTCTGAATGAAAAGCCACGCCCCAAAGTCACGGAAAAACCGGTGTGTTAGATTTGAAGGAGAGCACATTTGCCTCAACTGAGATTTTGCTCCATTTGTTCTCAGAATTGCAACTATGCTTGTCAGCATGGTGAACACAGAGCAAATCGATGAACATGGAGTTGCGTCCCATTCAGTCCCTTCATTCCGTGGGAAGGCAGGTTTTGAGCCCGTCCCTAGGTGCCGATTCTTCGCACGGGCCTTGGGTTCCTCGCTAAATGGGGAGGCTGGTGACGCACTTCAACAGTTGCCCGTAGTAATGAGGGTTTCATCATATTTTCTGCGTGTGTGTGTGTGTGTGTGCGTGTGTGCGTGTGTGCATCATACTGTTTGGCTGTGTTTGCTGTATTTTTCGCTGGATTGTTTTCCCTTTACAGAAATCAGTCATGCGAGCGAGCCAACTCCAAGCCCACAGCGTAGCCCGAAGCCGCGCTTACTCTTTTCAGAAATCACTCCTAGCCCTGCCCCCCTGAAACCAACCCTAAACATACCAGAACCCGCACTAAATCCATCCGAAACCCAGCCTCAACACACGCGCACACAGCCCTGAACCTACCCTCCTCCTACAGTAAACCATCCCTACAGCAGCCCGAAACCTACCCTACCCTAACCTTCCCTATGCTCAGCCAAGACCAATCCTTTCACCATACACCCACCCTAAACCCACCCTACTGTCACCCTTAACCCAACTTCAACCCAAACAACTACTCCACCCCAAATCCACCCTCAACAAACCTTCCCCGAACTAACCCTCAAACGACGCTAAACTTGCCCTCACCAACCCTTAGTTTAGCCCATCCTCACCCACCTTCAACCAGCGCCCAACAAGGAAGAATGCATGTTTCAAGGCACTGTGCAGTCTCATACTTAGTCCTGTTCATACAAACACTGCTGTTTGAGGCTTGCATTGCACGCGATGGACTTGGACCAGTGTTATCCCAAAATGCCAAGAGGGGGCTTCTGAGGTCAGCTGCAGAAGCACGCCAACAATGGCATACCCTTGGCCGTGCTGGAGCATACCAAGGTTGAAGCAGCTGGCCACACAATTTGAGCCGTCACTCTCGGTAGCCCATGGAACCTAAAGACCTGGAGCCAGAGAGCGCCTTGAAGCTACAGTTAGAAGGTCAGACAGTTTGCAGGTGTGAGTATGCCTCAACACAACACACCCAGTGTCCCAAATTCAACAGCTTAGTGGTTCAAGATTTGCGATCAGACGTTTGCTGCATCTGAGCTCTTATTGTTGGGCCCAAAGTTTGTCAAGCAGTGGGCGTCATTCTCGGAAAGAAGATATGCGAGAATTCACCTGCAAGGTGTTACGTTGTTTTCCGCAATTCTGTGGTGAAGCACATTCTCATCTCAAGTCGTCCTGCTTCTCCAGAAGCAATGGTGACCAAAGGCTATCACCCACATCCCCCTAGGATCAACAGCAATGATGCCGGCCCGTCGCGGCAAGCCTATTGAGCGCAAGAGATGCGATGAATTATTTCCCCAATTAGTCCCCGAGTATTCTGCTGCTAAATGTTGGGTGGATCTCGTGGTGCAGCCAATCTGGATGCGCTAGCTTTAGGATCAGAAAGTCCAGCTGTCCTACTTGGATTTGCTTTGCCTGGGGCCCCAGGACAACGCCGCTACTGTTTTCGGGGGAGTCAAGGTGGCCACACGTTGCTGCTTGAAGAGATACCCCTGAGTTTTCAGAAGTTGGCTTGCCTATATTATCGGAATATCATCTTGTTTGCCAACGGCCTGGCTTATTGGCTGTGGCGAGTTGGCAGCCTCTTGCTGTTGTCAGACTACTGGAGGCAGCAATGACCACGATTTGGGTCAGAAAAACTCGGCAGAGCCATTGCTGATCTGATTTTGATACAGCGGGAGGCTTATACCCCATGATGATTTACCAGTGGCTCACGCACGTCGCGTTGTTACAATTTTCAGAAGTGAAGGTCCTCTACCAGGACGGCCCCTTAACTTCTTAGCCTGATGGAGAAGCAGTCGTGTGAGTGGAGATGCATGCGAGGCATGCGAGTAGAGCACCCTGAAAGATTTCCTTTCCTCCCTGTGGCTCTTGTAAAGCGCCAGCCCTTCCCCACCCCAATCTCTTGCCTTTAGCAGGCGATCCCGCTTGCATCAATTCACGTCTTGGGCGAGGGCTTCTTTCATATCGCCCGAAGGCACGGCAGAGCTTTTGTCTCCTATGGAGCCCCACAAATTGTTGGCTGCCATTTGGTTTCCCTGTAAAATGACCACTAGGTACACTCAAAACAAGAGACCCCAATTTGAGGTCTGTGCTGCCGTTTTTTGCAAAACACCTCCCTGCTACTGGCCAACTCGACTGGCCGGCCAATCCGTTTTTTGGAGCTGCGCAATCCATGCAGGCGTCCATCTTTGCTCCATAGTAATCTCGTAGGCGGTGAAGGTCTCTTCCTGCAACATCGCCTTTGAACTTGCGCATGTCCCGAAAAAGGGGCAAAGAACACGAGGTTGACCTGGGCCAAGAAGATATGGATGGAGGCGAAACGTTCTTTTTGCAGACCGATCTCAGGCTGCGTGAGATCCCTGTCCAGCAGCCTGAAAGTTCTGCTGGACGCAAAGGCCCAAAAGCTGCCGAGGCATGCGGAGGGTGTTTTTTTTCGTCTGAACAGCAGTTCCCTCTGCGATGCCAAAACATCAGGCCAGTCTTTGATGCTTCCGATTGGTGGCTGAGGGGATTTGAAGCCCTTGAGGGTAAATGGGACAACACCCGCGGAACACCTTCAAAACTAGTGCAAACCACCAATTGGAGGGAAGCTGACATTACATTATGGTCCCCCTGCGAGGTTCCAAGCGAGGGCTTGGGAAAACGAGCGCCATGACTCGCACGCAGACCAGACCAGTAGCCCTCTGATGCATGCCAATACTGATTCTGGATAAGACTGTGAACTTTGTGTAAGATGGATCATTGCACTTTTAGGCGTGTCCTACGACAAGGGTGTCCCAATGATTGGTTTGCCCTTGGTTTCATGTTGAAACCACCCATTGTCTTCGGCCACACAAGCCAGCTAGTCCACTATCCATTAGCTTGATGGGGAACATATGGTTGGGGGCAACCCAATGGGCGAAGCATCGGTTCTTGGATACAGAGCGCCATTGAGATCGTGGAAATGGGCCGAGACTCGCACAGTATCAGGATTGGCATGGTGACTATGGGAAGCCGGCAATTCGCATCTCCGGGTTGAGACAGCAAGCAATCTCTGCATGTCTAAATGTGAATCAGCACACAGCAGGTCCTTCCAACATTTTGCTTTTGCTGGTTGAGTTTGCCTGAGCGTGCCGCTCATCAGGCATGTGGCCTTCTTTGTGAATCCCGGCGCCGCGCCGGGCGCCTCGAGTGGGGAAAGAGCCTCTGCAAAGGTTTGCTCCCCGACGAATGCAGACTACTATAATGGTGGTGGCTGCTGACACAAAATGATGATTTTGATGATGATGACGACCACGACGACGATGATGACGACGATGATGATGTTGATGAGGAGGAGGAGGATAAGGATGAGGATGAGGACAACCACAACGACAACGAAGCGGCAATGACAGCGACAGCGATCATGACAACACGCAGCAAAGGCAACAGCTGCAGGCGGCAGGCGCGGGCGGTGCCAGTGCAGCCGCTGCGTCGCTGTCGCCGCCGCACCAAAGCCGCGCACCACCGCCGCCGCCGACGACGAGAACAACCACCGCAACAACATCCGCGGCCACAACAACCATCCTGAACAACGGCAATGACTAGTGAGCAACAATAAGATAAAATAAGAAATACGACAACAAAAGAACAAGAGCCAGACCAGCAGTTTGCAACAGTGATTGTAGCCATACTTTCTTTGGGGACTGAGGTATGTGGTGACCGAGTTGTCCATTTGGGCAGCTGGTGGTGTGTCTGTGCCCTGGTCCTCGTGATCGGATGGTTCAAGCTGCGCGGCCTATCGTTGATCTTTTTTGTGTAGAGGTTTGCAGCACCAACTAATCACGCGGATTGCTCTCTGGACATCTAAGCAAGGCAAAAAACTAGGCCACGGCGTTGCATTCGATGGCTGAACACTGAACAGTGAAGTCCTTTCGAGCGAAAGCGCAACCAACGACAGGCAAGCAGAGAGACAGAGAGAGACAGAGAGACAGAGATACAGACAGCGACAGATAAGAGACACAGACAAGCAGAGACAGAGACAGAAACACACAGCCACAGAGAGACATGGAAAGGGAGAGAGAGAGAGAGAGAGAGTGACAGAGAGAGAGAGAGAGAGAGACAGAGACAGAGACAGAGACGGAGACAGAGACAGAGACATACAGACAGGCAGACAGATAAACCAGTAAAACGCGTAAACGCATTTCGAGCCTGTTTGTGTCGCTTGCATTTCCAGCTCTTGCACTTGTCTATGATTTGCAAGGAGTGGGAGCGGTGCCATCTGGATCTTTGAGAGATCCACAATTGCTTCGCGTTTTTTTTGGGGGGCTGACAACTTCCAGGGGTCTGGCCCGATGCAACGCAAGCCGATAAGTCTATCGCAGCTTGGGATCTGAGTCATGTGCAGAATGTGCCGAATCGACAACACTCAGAGACAGACGGTCCGAAGATCAGTCCAGTTTCGCGGAGTGAATCAAAGACCTCGTAGCAGCTGCCTCGCCGCGCCATGAACCAGACAGCCACAGCAGGCGGGGGGGGGGCTTCTGCAAAGGGGCCAGAAAACCCGCCACCTCTGAGGACATTGCCATCCGATGTCCTTGCATGTATTCGAGCATACCACTGGCATGGCGGGATGAAGTTGGGAAGCAGGCCTACTGAAGATCCGCGAATCACTGGCCAATCTGCATCAGATGTAGATCTGAACGGTGAAATTCTATTTTTGCAGCTCATGGAAGGCAGAGCTGTACTTTACATGATCACTGCCGACTTTCTGTTCACGCACATGCTGCAAGATACCAGACAATTAAACAACTCGCAATAGGTGGCTGCGAACCACCGCTGCTTTCGATTCCCTGCAAGAGACATCCCGCAAAAGGGTCAGGTCCGCAAGATTTGTTTGGCAGCAGGATGCAGAGCAAGTTCTCGGCATGCAGCTGGCGGTCAATCAGTAAAACTAGGCCGCTTTTGGGATGTTTCTTGTGACTTGGCTAGACCATTGCTCCAGAGGCTCACCGTGGACTGCAAGATTCAACACATGTACTCTAATCCAACCTAAGGACCAACGTGTATGCACAGCCATTTTTTCCGCTGATGGTATGCAAGGAGAAGGGTCCTACACAGGCATGTATCGAAACCAGGGGCCCCCAACTATTTGGGAACGGTTGCAAAGCATAAGCAACGTGACACCAACAACCATGTGGAGTCCCTGGTTTGCCATCGTCACATCAAGCGGTGACACATGCGTGGTTTGAGTTTGGCTAGGCTTCAGCAGCTTGGGCCGAACACTCTTGGAATCGCAGCCGAAGGGGGACAGCCGCTGGGACGTGAAGCTGCTTGCGAGCAAGCGGCATTGAAAGGGTCCGCAGATTGGTGGTACATGGCATGTTCCGGAGCCGTGTGATGTCTCTCTCATTCACATCATGTGAAGATGGCTGCTTCCTTTGACAGCGTTTTGAATAAAGCAATCGTCCGTAGCCAATGAGGAACATTTTGGGGACACTTGTGCAGCAGCTTCTGGCCTGACCGAATCAGCTTGATTGACAGGTCCTCAATATCGGGCAAGCGGCAAACACCAGCTATCTGGGGACCCTTTGCTTGGATGGACTAGCAAGCGTCGTAAGACAAGTCAACACACCCAGGAATCACGATTGCTTCAAGCTTCACTGTGTAACTGAACCTGGACTTGGCCTTTCCTGCCAAAGAGTATATAAATGTTTTGGATGTCAAGTTCTTGGGATGCAAAAGTGAGGTGGGTGGGGCAACGATGAAACATTCGTCCGAGGGAGGCCCCGTACTACTCCAGGGTGCTGGAGGCGGGAAAGGGAGGAAGGATTGGGGCCGCTTTGAAATCCAAAATGACTGCAAAAGGGGTGGTTGGTTTCCCTTCAACCCCCCCAATTTGTCTGGGTGACTTGGATGGTAAAGTCCAGTTGCAGTTTTCCCGTTGGTGGGTTTCCAGAGTCCCGAAAAGCCTCCTGTGAGCCCGCCCTAGGCAATCCACAGAATGTGAATGATATCGGGGCACAAGGTGACTGCACCTAAGCCTCAACAGGCCTCGGGTCCATTCAGGATGTTTCTATGTTGGCCTGTCAGTCCAGGCTTACTGAAAGGAGGCAGCAGCCACCTTTTCGCCCTTGGTTACTTTCCAGCTTTGTGAGCCAACTTGCGTGGCCTTGGTGAGCAAGCTGATTGCCCATTGCTTTCAGAGTTTGAAGCCAGCCTGAAGGAAAGTCCCGCGCTCCAGGGTCGCCGGCGATTTTTGGTGAGGCAGCAGTTCTGTTGCGCCGAATCATCTTTAAAATGCCTCGTTGATGACACTACCAATTTTACAGGATGGGATGTAAGATGTGTATGGCAGTTCAATTGAGGGGATGCTGATGGATGGATCCGCCGTTCAACTGGCCCCACATTCCACCGTGACTGCCCATCGAGTCAGTTTCAAGCTCCCGCGCGAGACATGCTGCTGCCGCCTTTGTGTGCAGAGGACGCAGGTTCTTGGAGAACGACCTGATTTGCGGGAAAGCATTCGCTCTGTCTGCGACTCAAATTGAGGGAGGGCAGTGATGGAACCTGAGCATTTTGGTCGGTTGATCAGGTCAACATCTTTAGTTCTTGATGAAGAGCAGAGAGATTTAGAGAGAGCATATTTGCGTGCTACTGTGCTACTGCGACAGGGCAACAGTCCCAATAGACATGTTAAAGCGACTTGTGGACAGTCACAACCAGATTGCATGCAGTACGTGAAAAGAACAGACAAGATAATGTGTTTGTGTGTGTGAGAGACTTTCTTAGTAATGGTTGCGTTATCTCGAGCTGTTTTCAAACTTGCTGGCTTCAAGAATCCCGCCCCCTTCTGGGGTGCCTTGCTTGCGCGGGGTACTCGTGGAAGGTCTGGGGTTTGCCCTGTGTGCGTGTGTTGCTGTTTTGTTGGGGTAGCCGCTTGGGTTTCTCTGCAGACTCAACGTATCAGGGCGATTCTGGGAAGCTGCGGGGAAGCAGGGGGGCGGTACCCACCGACTAACATGGAAGTGCACAGACCCTGCTTGAAAGACTGCTTTCCAAGGGGCTTTGCGCACTTCCATGTTGGTGGGCGGGTAGCTGGAGTTTGCTTTGTGTCCGAAAAAACGCGCCCGGCGCTGGAGCGCCCCCTCTGAGTGCTCGCTCTGAGGTGCCTGGCATGGTGGCGGCGAACTGCCTCTTCACGGAGGGCACCAGCGCCCTCAGGAAGTCCATGCTGCAGACCAACATCTACGACCGCCTGCGGCCTCGGAAGGGGATAGGCATAAAAAAAAAATATTAGGCATCAAAAACAACTTATGCTTATTCCTATGGGGGGAAGGAAGGAAGGAAGGAAGGAAGGAAGGAAGGAAGGAAGGAAGGAAGGAAGGAAGGAAGGAAGGAAGGAAGGAAGGAAGGAAGGAAGGAAGGACCCCCCAACCACCCCGCTGATTTGTAGAAGGTTGACAGTGATTAACGCACCCTTTGCTGAATCATCACTTCTTCGAGCATCATGGGGGAGCTGCCCCCCTCCCCCACCCCCCCGCTGATTTTCAGAATGTTTGCAGAGATTACCGCACCCTTTGCTGAATCATCACTTCTTCGATCATCACCACCCTTTGTTGAATCATCACTTCTTCGAACATCATGGGGGGGGCTGCCGCCCCCCCCAACCCCCCTGCTGATTTGTAGAATGCTTACAGAGCTTAGCGCACCCCGTTGAATCTTCACTTCCTCGAACATCATGGCCCCCCCAACCCCCCCGCTGATTTAATGCTGCGCCTGCGTCAAACTCTGCAGCGTACCTTGCGAAAGTCCTGCGCCTGCTGCGAAATTGGCACCTCTTGCGAAAGTTCTGCGCCTGCCGCGAAATCTGGACGGCACCTTGCAAAAGTGCTGCGCCTGCTGCGAAATCTGTACCTGACCTTCCGAAAGTATTGTGCCTGCCACGAAATCTGGACCGCACCTTGCGAAAGTGCTGCGCCTGCCGCGAAATCTGTACCGCACCTTGCGAAAGCGCTGCGCCTGCCGCGAAATCTGCACCTGACCTGCGAAAGCACTGCGCCTACCTTGCGAAAGTGCCGCACGTGCCACGAAATGTGTACCTGACCTTGCGAAAGTGCTTCGCCTGCCACGAAATGAATAAGTTTTTTGATCCCGAGAAAGTTTTTTTTTGATCCTCTGATTTTTCATTTTTAATAGTACTGTAAATCAATGAGAATAAGTTTTTGTTTGATCCCTAATAAGTTTTGTTTGATCTTTAGAAATAAGTTTTTTTGGATGCCTAAACAGTTTTTTTTGATCCCTCACCCTGGAAGGGACATGGAGACAGGGGGAACCAGTGGGAGCGTTTGGAAAAAACAACAGTTTGACATTGATTTGTAAAAGGCTTATACAAACGCCCATAAATCAAACCCGCAAGCTGACGGGGTTTCTTGCGGCGAAGGACATGTGCTTGTCCATTCCACTGCAAGCAATTGAGCCACCGGGCAGCCATTCCCCCGCGGGTTGGCCGAGGCGATCTGTACGCCCTGCAGCACCGCCGTGCCAAGGACACCTGCCCAGAGGCAGCATGGGCTCTTTGAAGTCTGAGAGTTGGGATTCGATTGGACCCATTTGGCTGTGGCTGTCAAAACCAAAGGGATCCCAGTTTCGGGGTTTTCGGTGAACTCGCCACCCATTTTAGAACCTATTTCAGTGGGGATTGGGATGTTCACTGGGGGTACGATTTGGATTTTGACCCATGGCCATTCGGTCAAAA